CCTCCGCCATTATGACCTGGTCGCTCGGTTCTCCAATCTCGGGCCCTGGTTCGAATTCAGCCCTCCTGTAGTACCATCATAGATCATCGAAAAAAATATTTTAAACATTTCAAAAATATATTGGAGTATATAAAGTTTTACTTACTTACTGACAACATGTATACTACAACTATTTGTGACCAAACTGATCGCACTGGAACCGGCCCCCTCATCTGCTACGACGGCGCCGAGACTGATGAATATTTAAGTGACTCAAACAGTTGTACTGATAATGGATCTGAATTAGGATCAGATGATTATAATAACTATGAGTTTAATTATGAGTTAGATAATGAAGAAGCTCACTGCACCTCAACCAGCATTACCGAGTCTCCATCAGTTTGGCTACCAAATGTAGAAGAGCAAAAGGCTAATACGACATACACTTTAAGACAAGAAAAGTTCAATAATAATTTCACTCCCAAGGACTTGCTAAATAGTATTTGGGAAATTCTTTCATCGCCACCTAGAGATATGTCAAATGATAAAGGCTCATTAGATTGTCTTCCAATTTATTCATTCCTCTTTCCAAATAAAAAAGTCCCTAGCCTATATAACGCTTATGATCGGGATGAGGTTAAAAATAAATTGGTTAACAAAATCAATCAAGATGATCGAGCCCCAAAGTTTTCTGTTGTAGACAATATTTCTGAAATATACGGTTTGCCTGGGATTCATGAATGTATTAACAGTCAAAAACCTTTAAGAGCCGTAATTGATATAGATGCTTCGCAAGAAGATATGGAAACAACTGGTGTTAAGGCGCAAGAAGTATTCATTCAAATTTGCCTATCTTTCATAAGAGTCTTGTATTAAATTCTCGACTGTAGTTGGAAAAATATTCTCAATGGGTTAGTTATTGCTACATCTTTAGATTCTAGCAAGTGTAGCTACCATATTTTATATGCACTGACTCTTCTTATCGACCATCACGAACTCAAAGCATTCTTAGAATTAGTATATACCTTAACTGGGGAAAATTTGGCAAGTTCATTGATCAGAAATTACCTGGTCACAACTTCAATCTTCGCCTTATTGGTTCAGCAAAAAAAGATCGCGTAAAGCGTATTCTTCAATTCTCACTAGAAAATAGATGGAATGAGCTCGATTATACTAGAGTTTAACCACCTACTAGCTTAGGTCTCAAAGTAAGACCTCATATACTTAGTGTGGAAAAAAATAATAATCCACTAAGAATAACTGTGAGTTAGGATATATTGCAAAAATTCGCAGACATAGTTTTGCAGAAGTATTCTAACTATCTTAGGGATTGGATTATCGAAGAAAAAGATTCACAGAACTTCGGCAAGATAGTGATGAACCCAGTGAAGTTTTTGAGTGTGACCCATATATCACAGAAAAAATTCTGCAAAAAAATAAAAATTTACCACAACCTTCTCGCAAGGTAAAAGACCCGGGCTTCCCAAGAGCTTTTGTAAAAATGCCATCTTGGGTCAAATGTATTGAGACCCTTATAGCTACAGAAATATATAAGGAAAGATATGTAAAACCATTACCCAATAAATGCAATATTTATGTGGGGTCACCTTGGGAAACGGGGAAAACCTATATTCTTAAAAAATTGGCTATTCCTAATGATGTAAATTTGCTAGTATTATCTACACACCACTCTTACTCTAACGCTGTTACTACAAGATTTAATCTTAAGTCATATTGCGATATCGATGGTAATATAAATCTACCCAATCACAAGAGGATGGTTTTCCAGATAGAAAGTTTACATCGTATTACTAACAATTGCAAATACAATAAAAATGTAAATGTTCACCAAGCCAATACGATTTATAGCTTGATAAAATAGTGTTTATAATTGCTCAGGCACAAGGTCGTTTGGCGGGGCAATCAATAGAAAGATTATATAAATTAGTTCAAGAGGCAAGACGTATTATCGTCATGGATAATGACCTAACTGACCTTAATATTGAATGGATTAATGCCCTTCGCAAGGATATTCCATTCTCAGTTATCTACAATATTTACCAGCCTCAGAAAGGTAAGACATTCCGCCTAGCTCCTAATAAAGAAACTGTGCTAGCAGAGCTTTGGGATTGGGCCAAGCAGATGTCTTTATTACCTTTTGAAAATCGAACAAGTGCATCGCTTATTTGCCATCTTAGAAAAGATGTACAAGGAATTGTTTGTGCCCTTAAGACTGAATTTCTAGAATTATGGATCAAGGAATACCATGATAAATCTGATCCAGTAGAAAAGGCTTGCGATTTTAGCAATGTTGAAACATCATGGAGAGACGTGGATCTTATTACATATACCAGTACTTTAAAAATAGGAGTTTCATATATTAATCCAAAATTTGAGTGAGCATTCTGTCTCTTCAATAGCTATATAGAAACAAACGCCAGAACAAATCAGATGCTATTCTGTATGCAGTGTATTAAAGATTATATATGTCATATTGAGCAAAGATCATTTAACGTTCCCATTACAGAAGGTGAGTTGTTTCAATGGTTACTAAATGCCAAACGCAAATGTCTACTCCGAGAACTCCAGAATAGAGGAATATTTCCTGACACAGACTCTATTATCCGGAATAAGGACGTACTAACTGTTCAGTTATAGATAGTATATATGTTGGAAAAATTTCGTTCTTGGTGTTTATTTGGTTGGAGAATGGTTAATTTTCTCCGAAAGGCAGGTATGGAAATTTCTATCATAGAGTTCATTTCTAAGCCTGATGAAAATGTTGTACTGTTGTCTCAAGCTGTGAAGGCTAATTTCTCAATCATTAAAGCAGAAGAAATATCAGATCTAACTAATGCTAATATTCTAGATCATGAAACTGCTAAATTTTTGGAGAACAAGCCAAAGAAGGCCTTAAAAGAAATGCGCTCTTTAGACCGGTATCGTATTGTAGATTGCTATCAGATCCAACCCGAATTACTAACCGAAGAATTTATCTCAAAGTATGGGAATTACAATCACATAAAATGGTTTAAAGCTTACAGGCAACTACGAGATGCTAGTACTAACAATGAAATAGCTATTGAAGCTATTTCTTGTAAAGATTATAGAGAAAATAGACTTACAACCACAACTCAAGCTAAGAAACATTGAATCTGCCTAGAATTATTAATGATTTGCACACTAGCTAGAGATATCAATGATAAATCCAGATATAAAGCTAATGATGTTAAGATGCATTTGAATTCTCCTGGATCTATATCATATCTCTAGGGTTTAGTGTCTAAAATGGCTTGAGTATTTGATAATACAGATGTGTCACGCAGTATTAAAAAATCAGGATTAAAAACAATTTGAGCAAAACTTGGATTACTGAATTCAGCACTACATGTAACATATGGGCTAAAGTTTAAGGCTATAGACAAGGGTTGTAGGTATTACCATCTAGTTGGATCTTTCGATAGTAACGACGCTCCTGCGTTACCTCTATATCAAACAGGAAAAGAAATTTACTGGGTAAATGAAAAAGATACTCGGTATGGCTATAGTGAGTTTTTACCTGATGAAATATTAATGTAAATATATCATACCCGGTTAGAGTACATACTTTTGAGATGTAGGCTTCTTCCAATATTTTATATAAAGATTCCGAAGAAGTCTACACAATTTGATACATATTGTTTACACCTGAAATGCACTATCTGACTTCAATATTTAACTAATTGATGAAATATATTTTCTACTCACTTATTAGTAGATAATTCAGAGATCTTTGCGAGTTGAAGGGCCTCGACCCCATACTTTTGCCTCATTTGATAATTGAGCGAATGAAATCTGGCAGAATGTTTAGAACAACATCCCATAATAGAAACAGTAGATATTCCACAAACAAAGTAAGGCTTTTTTTTATATTTTTTCATATAATACCCAGTGCTTTGTACAGCCAGTAGTACGAGTGCAGACTCTCCTGCAAATGGAGCCATCTCTCTTAATATGCTGACAAGTAACACGATCCATGCAAGTATTTAGGATATAAAAACCTTTTCACTTTTTATTGCAGATTAATTTCATAGTAAAATGTGTATTTAAATTATTCGGTATTAAGATAAGACATAAACGTCTTTTCATACTTATGCTATGGATACATTAGATCAACTGATAAATAAAGTTTGCAAAAAAATCTATAATCCCAAAACTAATCACATAATCATTATAAATGGGTCAACGTATAATAAATTGCTACGTGAAGGCTATATACATTGGAAAGAGAAAGAACTCTTGATTCTGCCATTCAATGAAATGCTAAGAAATATCAAAGTTTGCTATTGTGTTTATAATATCTTGCTGAATCTCGGGTTTCACTATCTTCAGTAATTGGCGAAGAGGAAATAAATAATATATAAGGAATTTATATATCAGAAATTATTAACTTATAATATATCTGTCTAAAATTAATTATCTAAATTTAGTTATTTTTTCAGTTATAATATATATCATTAAATAGCTACTGTATAGTTGCTTCCAACAATATTTGACATGGTTTTCATAAAAACAATCATAGAGAGAAAAATTCTAGTAAAAGCATTAATCGATACAACATCTAAATCCAATACTATTAGCAAGCGCTTGTATAATAAGCTTGAAGAAGATTATGAGTTAGAAGGTATATCTGGTGATAATTTGATAGACAAAGAAATAAAATGCTTAGATTTGCAATTTTGGTATAAAGGAAAATGGCAAAGCTTAAATGGTACCGAAGTAATAGATTTTCAAATTCGCAAAAATCCATCATTTGATTTGGTGCTAGGACGGGATTGGTTATGGATACGTGAAGCAAAAATTAGCTTTGAATATCCTCCCAAAACTTATACTCGTCATGCTAGGATTGTAATAGATGATATGAGTATCCCATTAATCAAAGAAAATAGTAATAAAGCCAGCTCTAGTAAAAATAACTTATCTGATTCTGAAACAGAAATCGATAAACCTGATCTAAATTTAGAGAAGTTTATAGATATGTTTAAGAAATTATCTATAGAGACTAATTTATCCAGTTCCGATTCAGAATCCACGAGTTCAGACTGGTACAATCTTGAAAGAAACGCATCCATATTACAAAGAAAAAGGTTATCTTTCCTAGCTGAAAACATCATAGAAATAAGCCAATTAGAATGAAGTAATCTTTAATCCAGAAAATTATTATAGATGGGATCAACATAGAAGTATTTCAGAGAAATAACATATTACTGCGCTATATTACTGCATTCTGGTGACATGGTGTCCTACCTCGGCAACTAGAAAAAATAAACACTGCACTGTATTACTGCAGAAAGTGGACTGATCATTGAATAAATAAACCTGCCTACATCTGGCCTGCTTCCACACCACCTACAGAAAATATTTGGGAGGGTGGAGGATTAAGAGTGAAAAGTGAAGCCTTCTGCCAATATTTTATATAAAGATTACACAGAAGGCTTCACTTTCAGATACTCACCCAGATAGCTCTTGAGATCACAATTGAGCAATATTTCTATTTTCATTCGAGTAATAAATCGGTAATTTGCAAATTGCTCATGATCACAGTAGATCGAGTGATTCCTATCCATATTAAATAATTCGTGTATAAATAGATCGTTAAACCCGAAATTAGTTTAATGAAATCTGCAAATTAGGTTTGTTAGTCGTAAAGAATAAACTATAAAAATAAGCAAAGTATAAGAGATTTCGTTATGTA